CACAAAATCCAGGAGTCACCCATAATAAAGACCATTACCCAACCATTATTTTATGCCCGCATTACTAATAAAACTGATAGAATCAATAATTTAGGTTGATACTTGCTATCCATTTGAAAAATCTTTTCATTTTTTATTTTGCCATCACATTAATATGAATCCCAGATGAACTCGTGCTGTCCTGTTACAATTCCTTTCAGAAACTGCAACCAGTGAAGGAAGATCTGAAACAGAAAGCAATTCATGAGGTCTTTTGCTTAGTTTGAGCCCTGAAGACAACTGACCCTCAGATTTCTTTTTTTTTTTTTCTTTTGTTTTCCTGGGGTTTATCTCATTTTTACTTTTGCTGCTGTTCACCAATTTGTTGGAGGCTCCATCCCCAGTATTAGGTTGTGTTCTGGGTTCAGCAGTAGCAGTCATTTTTCTCCTTCTTAGTAGCTGGTGCAGTGCTGTGGTTTTGACTTTCAGCCTGGGAACAGCGCTGATGACACCGATGTTTTTAGTTGCTGCTCAGTAATGTTTAGACTGACCAAGGACTTTCTGAGTCTCATGCTCTGACAGAGAGGAGGGGAAGCTGGGAGGAAGCAGAGACAGGACACCTGGCCCAAACTAGCCAAAGAGGTATTCCATACCACAGCACGTCATGCCCAGTATATAAACTGGTGGCGGTTACCTGGAAGGGCAAGATCACTGCTCGGGTTGGGCTGGGCATCGGTCAGCAGGTGGTGAGCGGTTGTATTCTTTTCCCTTGTTATTTCCTTATCATGATTATTACTGGTGGTAGCAGTAGTGGTTTGTGTTATACCTTAGTTACTGGACTGTTCTTATCTCAGCCCATGGGAGTTACATTCTTTCGATTCTCCTCCCCATCCCTCTGGGAACGGGGGTAGGAAGGGAGGGAAGTGAGCAAATGGCTGCATGATTCTGGGTTGCTGGCTGGGCTTAAACCATGACAGGTTGCTAGACATTTTTTTTTCTCTCTAAGATTTTGTTGCTATCCCTAGAATCTCGTCTCTCAAATCATCAGAATTTGTTCTAGAATCACTTATTTCACACTTTTCTTTAGCTGATACAAAGGTTCTGCATTATCATCACACAAGTATGAATGCAAATCTTTCCTTCTTGGGTGATATTTTAAAATCTTTCACTGATCTGTAAAGCCTGCTCTGTCACAATCACTTTCTTGCTCAACTGAAATAAGTTTGGGTTATAATATTATTAATCCAAATACTACTACTTTTTCAATAGTGCATATGTGGAAATATCATAAGTATGTTATCATTTCCGTCTTCCCCCAGGGCATAAGATGGAGCATTCAACCCCAGTGTGTGACGTTTTTCTGTCTCTATATATGTGGGTGAAAGAAACTGTTTTCCGCTTTAATGTTGTCATTCCAGTAAAATAATGTTCTTGAATTTGTTTTGTTAAAATAGAAATGAAATATGTGTACATAGTCTTTTCCAGAATATCATGATGTTTAACTCCTTTTATTAGCAGAGACATAAGTTTGCCAGTAGCAGCATATGCTGTGTATATTCAGTCTGCCCTTAAGTCTCTTTGTTTCAGGAGACAACAGAATGCAGGGTAGATTAAAGCCAATGCTGTATATACAGCTTTAGTTTTTTTCATTCTAGCAATTTTTTTTTTTCATAGCAATTTAACATTTGTAAGTATTTTGCCAAATAATATTTCATTGTGATTATTTAATAAGAATGTGATATCCTGGTTTTAAAGAAAAAAAAAATTCTTTAAAGAAAAAGAACTATTTTTGTCAGCGTAAAATTCCAGATGAAACAATCACACTTCAGAGTAGAAGTGGAATTTTTTTTTAATTTTTTTTACAATTGCTATCATGTAGCATTGAAAAAATTAAAATCAGGTAAGCTGATTCCTCCTTTTTTTTTTTCTGGTTTATAAATTACTTAAGCATATGCAAAGTTATAGGTATATTTTTTTTTTGCATTAACGGCAAGTTTTCATCAAAAGATTGAACCTGAAGTGAAAGGCAAGACTATATTTTCAATTTCCAAAATACAATCAGGAAAGAATAAGAAATGATGATTTGGGGGAAAAAAAAAAAAGTGAAAGCAGCCTATGAAATATCCACACTTCTGCAGTTGTAGAACTTAGTGTGCGGTAAATGCATTAAAGGTAAACAAGAATGCCAAAAACTCTCCATAAATTATATTAACATAACTATCTGCTTATCCATGTTAATAACCTCATAAACTCCTATTCAATAGTAAGTTTGTGTATTGAATATAGGAGAAAAAAATAGAAAGTTTTTCCTTTCAAAAGAAAGATGAAAAGTAAAACTATGACTTAATGTGCCTTCTCTAGCCCAGCATTCCCTTAATATCTTGTTTTATATGCATCAGGTATAAAAACATGGAAATAATATGTCCTAATTTTAGCCATCTGAATCTTAACTCAGTAGATTGTTTAGTCTCACTGTATGTATAGGAAAATGAAAGAGTTCATCACATGTATTTCAGGATGGCAAAAATCAACTTTACAAAGAATGAATTGTATTAATTACTTGAAAAGAAGCTTAAGCAGCTACATCAGACCAAGCATGATATTCAGCTTCAGCCTGTTGACATCTAGATTCAGACATTTAAGTCTTTGGGTTTAACTTTCAGGTAGGCAAGAGCAACTATTACTTGAAGGATAATGGAGTTCTTCCCTCTGATGACTATAAAATCTGCAGTGTGTGTATGTATACAATATAACTATGTTTTATGTGTGATATTGTTCTCTTAAACCTCATTCCACATGCGCATAAATTCACAGATACAAAGACTCTAAAACACACAACTATGTTCTTTCTCTTTTTGTGTGTTGGAATACCCATCCTCTAATAAGCATTAAAGCTGCCCCTGAAACAAGATATCCCACCACAGAACCAGAAATGAAATCACTACCTTTAACTGATTCTTGAAATCCCTTCAGTTTATAGTATGTCTAAAATGACCCAAATGATCCACTGACTATATCAATCTAATCAAGTGATCAATTGGCTGGAGATGTCATTGATACTTAATTCACATATAAACATTTTAAATATCTTAATCCCACCACATAGGATAAATATTCTGGATATAGATCTGTATTGTCTTTCAAGGTGACATATACCATTAGGCATCTTCATGACAGACTAGAATATATGACACTCACAAACCTGGTAATTGCGCTGATTATAGCAGTATTATGTCAGGTTATGTGATAAAAGGTCAACTGCAAACTTAGGAGCAAAGAGAGTAAATGGTGGTGATTTTTTTTTTTCAGAAATCCAAACAGTACTCTGCCCCCTCTTCTCCCAGACCATTACAGGGTCCATCAGCCCTTCAAAGACCCATCTCCACAAGCACAAAGGAGCACAGGAGGTTCTAATGTCAGGTAGGAACCTAAATTAAGGACTCAGAAGTGAGTACCCTGTTCAGGTCCCTCCCATGCCTGTTAAAGGATATTTTCAGACCCAGTGAACAAGTCTAAAATTCTCTGACTCAATTTGAGCACCTCTCCAGGACACATTTTGAACAGATGGTGGTTGCTGCCAAGAGTATGGGATATGTTAAGAGTCAAAGGATGAAAAGGGTTGACTGTGCTCGGACAGTTTGCTGGTTGGTATGCTTGTCTGTCTATGTCCTGTGCCTGATCAGCACACTCTGTCCAGTCTTCTTCTTTAACTCTTTTCTAACTCATTCCTGTATGAGGGATTCTCTGCTTGGTGTGCCATGTGTATGTTGGTGTGCCATGTGTATGTATGGGGGCCTGGAGGCCAGCCACCTGAATCAGAATGTGTGCCTGTGATGCCAGGAACTGGAAAGACCAGAACAAGTGGACTTAAGTGGCAATGACTGTAGTGGGACCTGGGGTCACAGGGATCCAGCATCTGTGGTGCAATACAAGGAGTGAGTGAGGGGCTGGGTTCCAGCTGCTGGATGGGGTTGGTGGGCTGAAGGGAGCAGATTGAGTGAAACAAAATGTGTGTTTCTCTGAGAAATAGAACATGGGAGGAGCTGGCTATTGGGGGACCATGGTGCCTGGGACAAGTCACCCTGGCATGTGTTCTCCACAGTCTAATGGTGCAAACACAGGGGAGTTGGCTACTGGAAACTAGGCGAGGAGGGTAAGGCTGCTGGCACTGCCTGTGTTTGTGTGATTGCTCTGTGTGTTCTTCTGTGATTTGGCATGCACAGGTGCATGTACAGGTGCCTGTATGTCTATGTAGAGTTTTCTAGATACACTCCACACACATATGCATGCTAGGAATACATGGTTAGCCTAGTTACAGGCTGGACATACAGGAATGAAGCTATGGCAGCCTTGCTGTCATATTAGGCAGAAATGTTTCCTCTAAACAAATTTAATCCACTATGATCAGTAGGTCACAGTAGAATTTAAATCACAATTTCAATCATGATTTCACCAGTGATGAATATTTTCACTTAGGCTATTTGTCATATGTTGGTATATGGACATGGTATTGAAGCCTAATGAATTTATTTAGAAACATAGAATCATAGAATAGTTAGGGTTGGAAAGGACTTTAAGATCATTTGGTTCCAACCCCCCTGCCATGGGCAGGGACACCTCACACTAAACCGTCTCACCCAAGGCTTCGTCCAACCTGGCCTTGAACACCACCAGGGATGGAGCATTCACGACTTCCCTGGGCAACCCATTCCAGTGCCTCACCACCCTAACAGGAAAGAATTTATTCCTTATATCCAATTTAAACTTCCCCTGTTTAAGTTTTAACCCGTTACCCCTTGTCCTGTCACTGCAGTCTCCAACAAAGGGTACCTTCCCAGCATCCTTGTAAGCCCCCTTCTGACACTGAAAAGCTGCTATGAGGTCTCCATGCAGCCTTCTCTTCTCCGGGCTGAACAGCCCCCGGGCTGCACCTTTCTGCACAGAAGCACGGGTCAGGCTGGGAAAGGCTGTTTGAGCCCTCATCAGCCCCCTCAGTGAAACCAGTGGTTTGCTGTGTGCAGGTGGTGCAGCTTGTGGAGTTCCTCATCGACCACCATGAGGAGCTCCTTGGAGAGCAGGTGGCTGGGCTGGCCAGCGAGGGGGATGAGGAGACACCAGCACCACAAGCAGAGCTGGAAATAGCAGAGGTAAGTGAAGTGCACAAGCAGTGTGACAACAAAAGCCTCCCCCCTCAGAAGGTGGTGCTGCTGCTGCAGGGACAAGCACGGTCATCCACCAGCCTGCAGCTCTGCCAAAGTGCAGAGCAAGGCTGATGCAGGTTGGCCATCCCACTTTGTGAGGTGATCCCACCACAACTGGCTCAGCTGAGCTGAGCAAACCCATCCAAGGAATGTGCCTTTTAGAGCCAGGGTAGCAATTGTGCAGGGAGGCCCTTGCCCCCTGCTAACCTACACATTGCCATTGCAGGTGCCTCTTGTCGCTCCCGAGAGCAAACAGCAGAGGAGCTTTTCCGGGGAGAAAAGGTAAAACTGCTTGGCTTTGCTTGGTTCAAGGTAATCATGGCTTCACCTGTCTCACAATACTATTGAATTGAAAGAGGGCAAGATGGGAAGAGGGCAGCGATGGGCCACCATGACGGAAGAAGAGCAAAACTGAGCTCTCAGGGATGGACAACTGAAGAAATTCAAGCAGGGGAAGAACAAGGCACCCAGAGCCTGTGTTCCATCTTTTTGTCAAGCTCTGAGTATAGGAAACATTCCTGAGGTGCACAGGGTGGTCCTGCATCGGGGGAACATATATGTCAGGAGAAACATGCTACCCCAGCATTGCCTGCCAACCTGTGATTTTTGTATGGCAGAGAGAGGGATGCTTCTGCTTGGGTTTTGGAAAAGACCATATCAGAGCTTCCCAGGCTCCCTGCCAAGCCCTGCTGCCTGGCAAGGGGGCACTGCACTTCTCTGTCAGCTTCCTGTGCTCTGAAGGGGTTACATGTGTTGAGAAGGTACCAAAGCAGCACTGTAGTTGTCAGTTAGGACCCAGTAAGGAGCCTTTCTCCTGTGCTAGCAGTGACCTCTTTTACAGCATACTTCCGAAATGCCCAGGAGCCAAATCCCTCCTGCTCCTGCTCTCATGGCTTCATCAGCACTTTCTGACTCTGCCCTTGTAGGTGCCCATTTACTGCTTTGGATTCCCTGCATGAGCTCTGCTGCCTGGGCTTGGAGTTCCACCCTGCAGCCCCAGCACCACCTTGGCAGCGGCGAGGACAGAGCCACCATGTCCTTCTGCTCTGGATAGAAGGTTCCACCACCTCGCCCCGGAGCCAGAGCAGCGCCCTCAGACCCATCCCAGCCCTCGCAGGCGGCCTTGCTGGCTCACTCCTCAGCTCCGCCAGCAAACGCCCACCCACTGGAGCCTCTCCTCAAGCGGGGAGCTGGCCTTGTTACTACCGTTGTTACTCTGCTTGTTACTATGTTTGTTAATACACTTGTTTCTGTGTTTATAACTATGTTTATTAGTCTATTACTATGTCTTTTTGAATAAAATTTTAGGATATACTTCAGGATAGATTTAGGATATAGTTTAAGAAGCACGTTATAGGATGGTAGTTATTTCGCATTGTGTTAGTACGCACTTCATATGATCATAGAATAGTTAGGATTAGAATAGGATAGGTAGGGTTGGAAAGGACTTCCAGTAATTTCATGTTATGTCATAAGACTACTCTTTGAGTGGCTTTTCATCTGTATTAGTAAAAAAGCAGAAAGGATTACAAAAGTCATCTCTCTCTGCCTTGGCATCTGCATCCTGCAGAATGGAAAACAGAAAAGAAAATATGCTGAGAGTCTTTGGATTCTGAAAGATATGACAGAAAGAGACTTATGAATGCAGGAAAACTACTTCTACACCTTGAAAAAGACTCAGATAAGCTCCGGAAGAGTACTGCCTGCTGTTGGAATACAGCTGCATATCTTATCCACCTGTTAAGGTCCAGAAGTAAGGAGAAACTTGCTTCTGAAAAAAAAATGCACAGGCAGCAGAAAGGAGCATTGAATGGCACCACTGTGCTTTCATTGACAACTGCTCGTGGTGGGCAGAGAGATGCTGAAACAGAAACAAACAAAAACAAACAGCAAGGAAGCAAAATAATAATTAAAAAACCCACAAAACTAAACAATTGCCTCCCACTTTCTCCCCCCCCCCCCAAAAAAAACCTCCAAAATGAAAAAACTGGAAAAAAAAACCCAACAAAAAAACCCTAAGTCCTATTTTGAAAATAAAATAAAATAAAATAAATCCCTCAGATCCCTCTGCACTATGATGGGAAAAACACTGGGAGGTGATAGCAGGTGTCCCCGGCACCTGCAAACAAAGCTGTCTCAAATCTGAGTACCAACAGAGTGACTTGTTGGTAATAGGGGTGAGTGACTGATATGCATGTATTCCCCTTGCATTCGCTGGAATACACTGTGCAGATTGCCTGCAGTTCTCAGTATTGCTTCAATGCCTTTCTGAATTTTCTTTACCATTTCTATACAGAAATAAAGTGTCAAATGCATACCTGGCCAGTCTCTGTGTTTGAATGAGTCTGTTCCCTTTTTATTCCTCTCTCCGTCTCTGGGTTTCCCTTCTCCCTCTCTCTGATACTTACCTGTCCAATAAGACAAAAAGGTCATGCAATTATTGCATTTGTATAATCCTTTTCTTTCTCTCAGGAACTTTTTGTTTTTCCTCCTAAAACACCTGAGGAGACATTTTCATCCAAGAAAAGGTCTTGACAAGGAAAGAACTTGAGTATGTTGCTACTTCTTCTGATCTGAGAAACAAAAGCACTACTTTTGCCCAGAAGGCCACTGATCAGTATTTCTGTGTTCTTGCTATGCTTTCATTCCATCCTTCTTCACATTCACATTCACTACCAAAGCCCCAAATCTCCTGGCCATTTTGCCATACCACAGACTCTCTTAGGAAGAGAATAATTTAAAGAGTGTAGGGCACTTCTGCTTATGGAAAGGAGATTATTTTTTGTCACCTGTGAATGCTCCATCCCTCTGGCCAAGTTGGACAGAGCTTTGGGCTACATGATCTAGTGTGAGGTATCCCTGCCCATGGTAGGGGTGTTGGAACTTGATGATCTTAAGGTCCTTTCCAACCCTAGCCATTGTATGATCCTATGAAAAAAAAAGTGAATATATGGTACTAAGTCTGATCTTTTAGAAATAAATAAGGAATTTCAAGAATACAGTGGCCAGTCAGACCTTTCTTTAAACATTAGATTGTCTTGGGAATTTTTCAATGACTGTTTCTTTCATTATATCACACTGATGTACCAAGGCAGAAAATTTTTATAGGAATATATATTTTATATAAAAAGATATTGGAAATTGTTTTTTTAATAAAATGAATTATCTGGTGAGGACAGGGACAGACTGACTCCAAAAAGCCAACTGTTATTGGACAACCACTTTCAGAAGGGATGTGGAAGATTGAATCTACCCTAACCACTTAGCTAAAGAATCATATTGTAGTTCAATTTCATATCCAGTTAATAATTTAAATGGATGGGCATCAGAGTCTCTATAAAGTCTCTATAAAGACCATAGTTTGAAGATCAAGCTGTTCAGTTAGTGTATAACATTTCAAGGCTTCTCATTCATAAGGCAAATCAGAAGTGGTAGCAGTGTCTCCTGGACTATGGATTATTAAAATGGGAGTCCAAGGTCTTATCCATGCCTCAAGACCAGCTGTCACTAACTTGATGAGATAATTGCTACACAGGGCCTCCTAAATACCTTATCTGTTTATCCTAAAGAGCGATAGGCAGTGTTGTCCAAAACAGTGAGGAAGTGAGACAATAATGAAACACTATAGGCAACCAGGTTGAGCTCACTCATTCTGTTTAATAGTACAAATATGCCCTGTTAGCCAGAGAAACCTCACGGTTTTGTGTTGTTGACTCTTAATTGGAACGCATATTTATATGATTCTATGTAAGGTAAAGAACTTTTGTACATCTAACAACCACTGAGTACAGGATGTATTTGTAGCCTTTTGTGTTGCTGATGGATTTTTGAAATGAAAAGTATTTTCTTCTTTTTACCTTAGTTGATTATCTGTACTGCCAAGAGGGTATGCATATTGTCTTGAAATATGTGTTTCTGTAAGAGCTGAGTGAATACCTGTATGCCAAATTTGAGAAAAGACATTTCTACTGTTTTGGCTTCCTTATAATTTTTTTTTTTAACTAAAGTTTTAAATAAAATCCACTTTTTATTTAAAAAAATAAATATTTTATTCTCACATTTTTTAATTTTTTTTTAAGCAAAAATTTTGAAAGCTAACATCAACCTACAATTTTATTTTCTTATCAGCATTTTTCAATAAAATGTCATTGAAAAAAGATTCAATTTTATCTTTTTGACAGGCTAGACACCTTTCAAACAGAATAGATGTAGAATACATGAAAAGCAGCAATACTACACTTACAGCAATACTGTGTTTCCATTGAAGCAAGATTTGTGATAGAAGGCTACACTGACAAAAAAAAAAAAAAAAGGAGGAGAGTAGAGTAGAAATTTACTAAGAAAAGTAAGAAGTTGTTGGACCACATATTACCCACAGGTCAAGAACTGTCAAATTGGTATTAGCGGCTGAAATGGAATACAAGTGGGCATGAAACCCTCCCAGGAGCTACCAGTGCCAAAAGGCATCTCAGAAAGAAATCCACACTAACACTATAGCAGTTACTTTTTCCACTGACCTTGACAAAATGCACTATTTGCACTGTCTATACAAGATTATAATTTCAGGAAAACAGAAAGGATTACTTGTGACTCTCAGTATTACAAATCAGGGAAGCAGGAATGCTGTTGAAAGGTTTCATCACATTAAGGTATTTAGACACTGTGGTAAACTTAATCAGTAATTTTAATATGCTATTCAGCACATTGCGTCTTTAATGCCCCCTTAGGTCTTATTAATACTGGGGGTGGGAGGAAAGGGAGTAAATTCCAAATCTACTACTAGAAAAATATTTTTTCAGATGGAAGTGTATATAATACTGCACGAAATTCTGGATGTTGAAAACAATTCAAAATTGTCCCAGATTAATTAAACCAGACTTTATACACTAAGACTTTATAGACTTTAGCCACTGTGCTAATATTTATTTTAAGTTTTGGTTCATCCCTCAATTATCAATCGTTGAATTAACAGTATGTCATTGTCCCACACCTATTCTGCTAGAGAATGTTCTGTGATATTAGGTAGTAGCGCATGAAATAAAGATATTATCAGATCCCAGGGAGCAAATATTAAAGTGTATAATATTTATAAATGTTAATAAATAAAAAAAAATGCACTACCCATACTGCCATGTAAATTATCTGTATAAACTAATCATATTGCATTCCCATTCATCTCTTGCAAATCAAAAGCAGAAAACAAATACTGTTAAAAATCCTGTCCTGTAGCTCACAGCCTACATGGTCTTCAAAACATCCCAGTAAACATTATAGGGAATTGC